CATAAAAATATCTTTATTTGGTGTTTTCTATGTGAAAATTGGTATATATTTTATTTCATGTCATGGCCTGGCCCTGCTTCGGAGCTTGGAGTATTTAGGTGTTAACATACAGTCAAGAGGAATTTTAAACATTCTCATTTCACTTTTAAATTAAAGTATTCCAAATTTAAAAGAGCCAACAAAACCATGAATTTTTATTTATAAGTATTTTATTTAGTACACCACTTCTATTTCATATTAAAAGATTTATGTTATGATTATTCGACAAGTTATACGCTGACTGTCCCTTATCTAATGCAACCTTGCATTTTTCTCATCTAGGATTTGGGACTTGGCAATGGTAGTGTTAAAGAGGCTTGTAAGGAGTCTAAGAAAGCAATATATGATATAAAGATTTTTCCTTTTAGTAATTTATATAATATATTAGATATTAAGGAGGTCGAAAGATATATGTATAGTTAGCCAAACAAAGAGATAGGAGTAGTAAGGATTTAGTTCAAGTGAAGTGTATTAAGGATGAAGATCAAAAAGTGCTTTATTAGAAGAGGATATTCAACAAAGGTGGATGACATATTTTGCTAAACTTTCAAGGAAGATTGTGAGAATATAATTAACTTTAATGGTCTTATCAATAAAGGTTTTTCTTTTTTATCGGCGTATTAGTAAAATTAAAGTTAGAGAGATTTAAAGAAAATGAAGTGTGGAAAAGCTGTTGGACCTGATTATGTTCCAATAGATGAGTGGAAACGCTTAGGAGATTAAGGAATTTCTTGGCTTATTAAATTTTTTAATATTATTTTGACAACCAAAAAAATGCCAGATGAGTGTGTTGATTCCTATTTTTATGAATAAAGGTGATACATAAGATTGTGCGAATTATAGAGAAATTATCAATTAAGTTAATATGTTATACTTTAAAACTATGGGAGAGAGTTATGGAGCATAGGTTGCAGCATGATATTAATATTTCTCAAAATCAATTTGGATTCATGTTGGGTAGGTCTACTATGGAAGCTATACATTTATTGAATGGTTTGATGGAGACGTATAGTGAGAATAAGGAGGATCATCATATGATATTTATTGATTTTGAGAAAGCATATGATAAAGTTCCAAGAGAAGTGCTATGGAGAGTTTTAGAAAACAAAGGGGTTAATAATGCTTATATTCAAATTATCAATGATATGTATGCAGGAGTTGTTATTTGTGTTAAAAAACAAGGTGGTTTGACCAAGTATTTTCCTATTTCAGTTGGATTACATCATGAATCTGCCTTAAGCCCATATCTTTTTTTTCTTTAGTCATGGATATTCTCACTAGACATTTGCAAAAGGTTGTACCTTGGTGTATGTTTTTTGTGGATGATATTCTTCTTTTTGATAAGACTAAAGAGGAAGTTGAAGGTAAAGTTGAATTATAGAGGTCAACCTTAGAGTCTAAAAGTTTTTGTTTTAGTAAATCTAAAACTGAATATATGGAGTATAATTTTAGTAGTAATAGATCTAATTGAGGGATTATGACTTTGGACAATCAAGTCATTAATAATAGTACATGTTATATATACATTGGGTCTATTATGCAGAGTAATGGTGAAATAGATACAAATATTTGGATGGTTGAACTGGAGGTATGTATTGAGCTCATTGTGTGATAGAAAAGAGCCCGTCAAACATAAGGGAAAATTCTATAAGATGGTGGTGAGAACCGCAATGATTTATGGTGCAGATTGTTGGCCATTAAAAGAGAAGCATAATATTAAATTAAGTGTTGCAGAAATGAGGATGCTCAGGTGGATGAGTGGCTTTACTCTTAGAGACAGGATACATAATGATTATATACTTGAAAGGTTGGAGTAGCTCCAATTGAAGATAAGATTAGCGAGAGTCGCCATAGATGGTTTGATCATATCAAACAATGTACTGGTTAGGAAAGTATATATATTAGATTTGGCTTATGCCATGAAAGGTAGAGGTTGACCTAAAAAGACTTGGTTAGAAAATATTAGAAATGACATTTCTTTATTTGATTTAAATGAGAATTTGATTCTTAACAGGACACAATGGAGAAAAATTATTCATGTAGCTGACTCCACGTAGTGGGATAAACACTTGATGTTGTTATACCAATTCTATTTCATCTTGTTTATAGAATATATATTTTTAAAATAAAAAATTAATGCATTATAACTTTATTATTATATCTAAATTTTTATGTTATCCTTTTGCTGTACATGAGATCTCTTCTTTTATCCATTTGAATTAAAGGAGACTTTTTTTGAAAATAATTATTAACTTATAGGAGTTGCTTTTATTATAAAAATATAATTCTTATTAATTTCTATTTTTATCAATAATGTTTTTAAATATTTTAATATAATTTTTTTTCACTTAATTTTCTCTTTTTTATTTTTATATAAGTCTCTAAGTTAAACTAAAATTATATTTATTAATTAACTTATTATAATAATTATTATTTCATTTAAAAATATCATTATAACTAACATTTTTCTGAAATGATTTGCTTTATTTTCTTGCTTTATTTTCCAACTCAAACTATTTAACAATATTTTAAATATCGGACAAGGCCGTCCAGTTCGACCGGTTCAATCGTGAACCGGTTCAGTTGTCGACCCAAAGAAGTTGAAAAACCGAATTTGAATTGAACTGGTTTGAATCGGTTTAAACCACCTGTTCAACTAGTAAAATCATCGAACTGGAACACAATTCAACAAACATATTTTTTATTTAAATAAAGTTTTTAATATTAAATTTTATTTAATTTATTTTGAATATAATTTTAAAATCATAAGCTAATTTAAATAAATTTAATAAGAATGTAAAGTTGCTGGCTTGCCACATCTTGCAACTTTACTTTTTTTGCTGTTATTTAAATTTGATTACAGGATCCATGTTTCTTCATCATTTATAATATTCTCAGTTATCTTCTTCGTTCTTTGCTTTAACTTCACTAACATTTCCTTATACATTCTATGTAGTTTAATGAGCTTGGAAACATGTTAGATGTATATCTTAATTTATATTTTATTTGCCTAGATTATTTTATCCTTCTTGATTTTAGGAATTACATTAACAAAATAAGTAGAAGAATGAGAAGAAGAAGAAGAGGAAGAAGCAGAGGAGACTCACAATGAAGCCTAATCTGGTGCCTCGTCGCGTGAGAAGAATACCGAGCAAAATGTGCTGTTTGAGTCGAGCGTAGGAGGAAGAAGAGGGATCGGAGACGAACCCTCGTATGGTCCACTTGAGTCGCGCGCAGGAATGAGAAAGTTAGGGATCAGAGAATTAGGGCTTTAGCGGGATGGAAGAATTAGTTTCGCGCGCATGGAAATAGGGCTGTAGCGGGATCAAAAGAGGATAATTTACATCAGTTAAAACCGGTGCTTAAAAAGCACCGGTTAAAACCGGTGCTAAAAGAGATTTTTAGAAGCGGTTCTAAAACCGAAGTGGTGCGAAAAATCTAACTTTCTAGTAGTTGCACATGAAACTAAAAAATTTTCTATGAAAATCTAATTAAAATGGTCCAACTAAGGCTTCATTAGGTCAACTTTCTTATTGGTTTGAACCAGTTTCTTAGTATAAAATTTTTTTGAATTTAAAATTTATGTATTAAAAAACTACTTCATATAAGAGTAAAAAAACTGCCCCAAAGCTTAATACTAATTTGAAATTATAAAGGACCACTTTAAAGAATAAAATGTGGCCTGCCTTTTGGCAGTTGCCACATGGGAATAAAGGAGAGGTGGCGCTCGAAGGCTTACCGTTCGGACACCGGACACAGTTTACCTTGTGGAGACCAATCAGGTGCAGCTACGTTATCCAATACCAAGCAAAACCGAGCTCGGTACTGCAGTACTGCTCACTACCGAGCTCAGTACCGAGTAGGAGGTGATGTAGCGCATTTTCATTGGGCTCTGAACGACATCCGGTGTCCGAACCCAATAATTTCCCCGCTCCTCCGAAGAGAGTGCAGGTCATCAATACGAGATACTTCCCATCTTAACAGAAAAAAAACTAATGGATAATTCTGGAGAGCAGAATGAAGCACACCAAGGAAATAAGGGAGAGTTGGCAATTCTGTAGAGAAAGGAAGAATGCAAAAGCATATGAAAAGGGCAAAAAAGTATTGCATAGGGATGTTCCACATAATTCTGCATGGATTGTGCACAGATGAAAGATGAAGGATGAAGGAAGGTGAAGTGGAGGAGAGGTTAATTAATTAATAAGAAGTTTTAATAAATCTTAGTAAGAAAATTATTTAATTTAATAATATTAACTTTATAATATTCTATTATTTATGATTTTCTTGAACAAAATGTGAACTATTATGTAAAATTAATTTAATAAATAATTAAATTAGAATTAGGTAGAATATTATCTTATACTCATTTAATTATAATTAATCTAAATATAATTCAAAACTAAGACTTAATTTAACTAATTCAAATAAAATAATCATAAACATAAAATTAATTTATTTGAACTCAATTCATTAACAATCTTATGAAAAAAATATTAATCTCTTAATAAATAATAAGATAGAAAGTGATATATATATATTCCTTCTTAACGAGAACAAATATAATTTTGGATGTATTTTTTATCAAAAATATGTCTCATGATTTGCGATTACACTACAAATGATAATATTTTACAACCAATTTAATGATTAATACTAATTTATGCCTTATAGAAAATCATCCTTACATTTTCCAGTTACCGCAACGCCACAATATTGATGATCGGCTTAACATAACGTTTTTTAGGGGGGATTGCATAACACTAAATTCCTCAAATACTTATATACTTAATATCTAATATTTTATATTTATTCAGCTAAATCATATCAAAATATATACATAAAAAGATATATTTTATTTTAAATATAAATATATAGCCAGAATATTTAAGATAAAAGCAGCTAGTACAAGCCATGAGGAAATTCTGTGGGGTGAAATCTCATGTTGTGTACTATACAAAAGCTTAATCAAAAGAGTAAATACTATAGAAGGAAGTAATATCCAAAGCACAGTAACGTTCAAATTTATAAGGCAATTCAGCAAGTGAGAAGACCTTAAAAGACAGAACAAGAATATGTAAATATAGTTAAATTTTGTTCTGGAGTCTGAGGGTAAAACCCTGCAATGATAAGAGTACCTGCTTCAACTTCTCCTTTATTTCAGGATCAATGAGATTTCCTTCATCATCAAATTTCCTAGGAGGTTGGAATGCCTGAACAAAAAGTTCAGGTTTGTTGATGAAATGAAGATCCAGGAAAACTCCAATCTGGCGCAGATGATACTGAGATCTTCCACCTCCAAAGCCTCCCCCAGCACTCACAATGGCTGCTGGCTTATCGGCAAAAACATTTGGGGGCCGAGATGCCCAGTCAATTGCATTCTTCAGAGGGGCTGCAAGTAGCAACAACAACAACATCAAGCCTTTGCCTCACTACGTTAGGTCGGCAACATGAATCTTTTTTCTCCATTGTGTCCTATTAAAAGTCTAAATTCTCGTTTAAATCTAATAAAGGAATATCATTTCTAATATTTTCTAACCAAGTCTTTCCCTCAACTTTCCTAACCGGGTCATCGGGAGGCCGCCGTCTTATGTGACCAAACCATCCAAGGCGGCTCACTCTAATCTTATCTTCCACTGGAGCTACTCCAAGCTTTTCACGTATATGCTCATTTCGTATCTATCTCTAAGGGTAAAGCCGCTCATCCACTTGAGCATCCTCATCTCTACAACACTTAGTATTATGTTTCTCTTTTAATGACCAACATTCGGCACCATAAAGCATTGCAGGTAGCAAAATGGAAAAATAGGCCAGTGAGGCATATTTGACTTTTAAAGGATATTAATCATTCCAATTGAAGGTTTTGTCGTTAAAAACAATGAACTATGCATTGGAAATGTTTAAAGATGGCTTTGCAAATAGTCTTCCTATTTATTCCAGATGCCAATGGAAATGTATTCAACTAGGTCCTAGGCTACTGCATTCTTACCAAAAAAAAAACCATTAAGAAAAAAATATCACCTAGTAAATCTAGTTAGAAGAGTCCCATTTTCTGGCTCAAACAATACAAATAAGATGAGATGTATTTTCAGGATTGGATTAGAACATGAATATTTTTCAGTGAGAAAAAAAAAAATGCAAAATACTAATCCATTAAAGAGCAACAAAACTTCCACTACACATTAAGTAGACTACCTTAATTTCTTAAAATTCATGAATAAGAGGAGCTTTATATATAGCTTAATCCTATCAAAAATGTATCAGGAAGTTTGATCATAACTCCTCCAGCGAGACTCCAGTCTTCCTCTAAAAAATGAGATTGTTAGTTCTTGTTGAACAAATAAGATGCAAGAACAATGTTCGAGGTTGATAATCCCTATGGCGAAGCACCAGTCTTTTTAAGAAAATAGGATCGATTGCCCTCATTTAACTGTTTGATCTGATGAGAGATGCCAGAGGTTAAGAATCACCATGCCGGCTTCCAATCTTCCTTTGAAAATGGGTCTATTATCAATGTTGAGAAGATTATATCCACGGTATAAGTCAAGCGGAGATGATAGAGGAAGGAGGTTCCTTCAATAAAGTTGATGCATGGTTCCATCAATAACTTGGTTTTTTATAATTTTGATTGATTTTTGTCGACCTTTGCACATTTTTTTTTTGTCGTTAAAAACAATGAACTATGCATTGGAAATGTTTAAAGATGGCTTTGCAAATAGTCTTCCTATTTATTCCAGATGCCAATGGAAATGTATTCAACTAGGTCCTAGGCTACTGCATTCTTACCAAAAAAAAAAAAAACCATTAAGAAAAAAATATCACCTAGTAAATCTAGTTAGAAGAGTCCCCCATTTTCTGGCTCAAACAATACAAATAAGATGAGATGTATTTTCAGGATTGGATTAGAACATGAATACTTTTCAGTGAGAAAAAAAAAATGCAAAATACTAATCCATTAAAGAGCAACAAAACTTCCACTACACATTAAGTAGACTAGCTTAATTTCTGAAAATTCATGAATAAGAGGAGCTTTATATATAGCTTAAACCTATCAATAATGTATCAGGAAGTTTGATCATAACTCCTCCAGCGAGACTCCTGTCTTCCTCTAAAAAATGAGATTGATTGTTCTTGTTGAACAAATAAGATGCAAGAACAATGTTCGAGGTTGATAATCCCTCTGGCAAAGCACCAGTCTTTTAAGAAAATAGGATCGATTGTCCTCATTTAACTGTTAGATTTCATGAGAGATGCCAGAGGTTAAGAATGACCATGCCGGCTTCAAATCTTCCTTTGAAAATGGGTCTATTATCAATGTTGAGAAGATTATATCCAAGGTATAACTCGCCATCAAGGAGGTCATGCGGAGATGATAGAGGAAGGAGGTTCCTTCAATAAAGTTGATGCATGGTTCCATCAATAACTTGGTTTTTTATAATTTTGATTGATTTTTGTCGACCTTTGCACATTTTTTTTTCTCTCAACTTTTTGCCAAATTTTTTTGTTGCGTGGTCTTTCAATGCATATGCTTCACCCGAAAATTGTTGGCACAAAATTATCTCATTTTGTGTGTTAAAAGAAATATAATTTTTTTTAAGTTTTTTATGCTAAAATTATGAGATTTAATGTTTAACTTGATGAATTTCTATGATCAAACTAATTATATATTAATTTAAGTGTCTCATTTTTACGTAGGGGTGTCAATTCGGGTCAACGGGCTGGGTTCGGGTCGAATCCGACTTGACATGGTCGTAAACGGGTCAATCCGAACTTGACCCCCTTTTTTTGCAAACGGGTCAACCCGAACTTGACCCGTTTTTGCAAACGGGTCGGGTTTTCCAACCCAGACCCGCACCCGCGCGTGTTATCGGATTGATCGGACCCGCAGCCCGTCGTAAAATGTGAACCCAAAGGCTACAATGTCACGTGGCTGGCGCGGATGCGCGGTAGGCATGTCGTGCAAGGCCTGGAGGTGCGACTCGGGTGAGGTCTGCGACCGCGGGCCAGCAGGAGTGAGGGCCAGCGAGGCGAGTGGCTACACGTTGTACACAAGGCCACCAGCAAGAATGCTGGACCGACGGACACCGCGGACTGCGGCTGTGAGTCGAGGCCAACTGGTCGTCTAGCCGAGGCATGCCGCCGACACCTGCGGGGTCGGAGACACACTACGTGGGTAGTGGTTATGCAGACGCGGGTTGATGGCGGGTCAAATCGGGTTAATTTTGGGTTAGCGGATCAACCCGTACTTGGCCCGATTTTAGAAACAGGTCGAAATCTCAAACCGAAACCAACTCGTATAACAAACAGATTGACACGAACCCAAATTTTTCCGAGTGGAGTCAGATTTTGACACCGCTATTTTTAAGCACTTTATTCTAGAAGAGCATATATATCAAAATACATCATAATATTTTCTTTCATCCAACGCATAATCAAAATTAGAACGAGTCACTTTTTTCCCTCATAGAACTCCCAATCAAAGAGAAAAGAATATATATCTTTCTCTCCCTCGTAGAACTCCCAATCAGATTGATCGCTTTCTTTTCCCTCTTCAAACTCTTAATCAAAGAAAAGCAATTACATTCTTTCGCCAACTCCTAATCAGAGTGTTCATCTCTTTCTTTAAATCTATTCTCCTCACCCGAGAAAGACATCCGTTTGAATGAACACCTAAATCTAGCCTTTACGTAGTGAGAAAAGCTCGAAATTTAAATAAAAGCTATTTCCGATTAAGCAATAGAATAATTCTGGGAACATTAAGAACAATTACCCCACGGATAATTTGCCAATTAATCCTAAGAATCAAGACCATAAATCGAAAGGGGGGCGGAGGTTAGAGAATAAAATCAAATTATTACCGGAAAAAGAGTAATTGTACTCAGGGGAAGCAAAGAGGATGCTGTCAGCTCCGAGGATCTTGCGGCGAAAGGAGTCGATGGCGGGAGGGTAAGTGCCGTTGAACTCGAGGTCCGTGTTGAGTAGAGGAAGCAGAGAGATGTCCACATGCTCGATCTGCAGACCTTCCAATTCAATAGACTCGTTGCAGAGCTCGATTGCTTCATATGCAACGGAGATATTTGTTCATCAATAATAAAGATGTAAACAGAGGAAGAAAAAGAGAAGACGAGGATGAAAGGACAGTAGATAGAGAGAGAAAGGCAGAGACCGCTTCGGATGAGACCGTGATTGAAGGAGGCCTTGCGAAGGGAGCCGGAGATTGCTGCCACATTGATCACTTGATTCGCTGCCATTAATCTTCTCTCCCCTCCCTCCCTCTCTCTCTCTCTCTCCCTGTGTTACAGATTGGATTGTTGCAGTATGCCAAAGTATGATATTTGAGGAAAAATTCCCAGCCTTTTGGAAAGAGAAATTCGGCTTGTGGTGGGAGGAGAATGAAGGTTTGAGGTGGGCCCAAACGAGTCAATCCAGAAGTTTTGAACCGGAATTTGGTAAACTGAAATTTCACATTACATGCCTCCTAATTCGAAATTTCGAATAGAATATTTTGACTAGTTTATTAAATGGGTTAGTCCGACAACTCAATTTTGGCCAGAAGAAATGACAATGTTTAATTAATTTTTCTTAATTTTTTTTATTTATTGATATAATCTTCTTATTTTTATCAGTTAATTTTAAATATATGATTAATAAGTGATACGTCATCTCAAAATTATCATGGTCGGGCACGAATCTCGAGGCAAAAGCTGGTTGGGAACTTCAAAAATTAATTTCGGGATCATATGAACTCTGATTTCAGCGAGCTTACAGTCAAACTGAGCGTCTCGGAAATACGAACCCAACGACACCAAGATCAACCCAATCCGAGCCCAAATGAGTCTGAATCAAGGATTCAAAGCGCTGTTGGAAGATTCAAACCGCGATTTGAGTTACCAAACGGTCTCCGATTTTGACGAGCTTATACTCGAATTGAGCGGCTCGACGAGACGAATCCAACGAGCCCAAGATCATCGAATTCCAACATCATTAAGGCCTTCAAATGTCCAATAAACGGTGCATAATCAAAGGATTCGATATCGGCCGTCCATTCAAACCACTCCCTGTTCGCCCTTGATCTCACGCCTATTTACGGGCTATGCCACTCCAGAAAAACTTTAAATAGAGCCCTCATTCTACACCAAAGGGACTCAAGTGAAGAGAGAGAAGAAGAAGAGAAGGAGAAGGAGAAAGGGGAAAAGAAGATTCCTCACCTCCTCGACCACCGCCGCCGGAGCTCTTCCTGCCGCCTGAAGACGCCGGAACTCTGCCGGATTTTCGGGAAACGCCCGGAATTCGCAGAAGAAAGAAGAAGAAGAGGAAAAAGGGGAAAAGGAGATTCCAGCCTTTTTCCTTAGATTTATAAAGGACGTATTGTATACTCGGTACTAACGACCATAACCTAACTAATATAAGACACCGAGGGGACTTATAACCTAAACCCCACCAGGGATCTAGGCAGCCCCGATCTGGATTTACCACTCTACTCTGAATAGGGGTACCAGCTAAACTTCACCTAGAATTTCAAATCCATGAAGTTCGATCATATGCCAATAAAAGAGTGGTGGGAGGCATAGAAGGGAGATGGGCCTTAAGCGACCATGTATGGTACTATGTTATGCAAAAGTAAATTATCCCTCTATGTGACAAAAATATATATATATATATATATATATATGATTTGAATAAGTTTTGAATATGGCTCAGATGATATTTATTTAAATATGATTATAAAGATATTAGAATATAATTTGAATATGATTCAAATATTATTTGAACACTCGTTTGTTGGAATAAAATTTGATTAAGATCCGAACAAGATATGTATTTTGTTTTGTTGCATACTAGAAAATTTGAGTCCGTAGAGTTTTTGCTTCATGTCTTAGCAGTGTGTAAAGATTTAGTACAAACAGATAAAAAGGATAAGTTTAGAAGAATTTTTTATATGAAAAACCAAGAATGTGAAACACCACGTGCTTGACCTAGTTTCAAAATTCATTATATAGTAAGTGATACAAATAACTTCCTTTCTTCACTATTGAAGAAGAGGAAAAGTACAAAGATCAAATATTCATAGATGGACGATCTATGCACAACAATAAAAGCTTAATTTTCCAATAGGAATTTTAGAAAACTGATGTCCATAAGGATTTAATTTGTTTCAATAAGGATTATATAAGGTAAATGTCCACAAATGGATATTTATACCCAAAAATAGTGTTAAATATTCTTAGTATTGAGGAGAAAGTGGTGTTTTCTGATCGTCGGTGGCGGTAGTGGTTATATGTGGTAATAGCTAGTGCTAGTCATCGGAGGTGATGGCTGGAAAATATAAGAGAGCTCTCACTAGTTATCACTTTTCTCCTTTTTTCCTCCCCCCTCTCGGTGAAGAATGAGGGCCTCTGCATAGGTTTTTGAAAGTGGCATGCTCAGTAAATATGGAGAAAATCTAGAACAATTTAGGAGTGCTCCATCAGACAGTCCATATTTATTCTTTTAATCCTAGAGCTTTCATCAAGCATTTAAGTACCTTAATAATGTTAGAATCAAGTGATGTTGGGCTCGTTGGATTTGTATCGTCGAGTTGCTCGATTCAACAATAAACATGTCATATTTGAAAATCATTTGGTTACTAAATTAATGATTTTAAGCTTCCAAGTATGCTTTAGCTCCTTAATACGAGCCCATTTGGACTCGGATTAGACCGATTTATGTGTCATTGGATTCACCTTGCCGAGACGATTAGTTTAACTATAAAGATATAAAGATAAGAGTATGGATAGTCCCAAATTTAATTTTGAAAGTTTCTAGTTCAAATATTCCTTGAGATTAGTGCCTAATCAAGATGGTTTTCGGTAACCTCAATATTTAAAGAAAAAGTTCTTTTTTCTTTTTTTGTTAAAAAAAATCATTATTATTATTATATGGATATATTTTAAAAAATTTAATCTTTAATTTTAATTTATGTAATTTTCTTCATTAAATTCACACAACTCTCTGCATTTAAAGTTATGTAACTCTCTTCATTAAAGTCACATAACTCTCTACTTTTAAGGTTATGTAACTCTTTTCATTAAAGTCACATAATTTTTCTTCATTTAAAATTATGTAACTCTTCCTCTCTCTGTCTCTCTCTCTCCTTCAAGTATAAATATCTCTTCGTGGGAGAAGGAATTTGCACCACTTGTCCTTTCCAATCTTCTATTTCCCATACTTTCTCTCTCTTCTCCATTTATTCCTATATTAGAGTCATTCCATCTTCTTGAATAGGCAATATCTTCTATCATGCTCCAATGCCCCTCTTTGCGTAGAAGAAGTTATTCTTGCTCTTTTTTTTTTTTCTTTTTCTTTTGCTTCTTATATTAGAGGCATTCTACTACTTTGAATAGATGATATCCACTATCAAGCTCTAGTGTCCCTCCTTACGTAGAATAATTTTCTCTTGTCCCCTTTTATTTCATGATCTTCTCTTCTTCTTCTATCATCTATTTCTTGTTACATTAGATGCATGTATTCTATAGCCCCTCTTTGTGTAGAATGAGTAGCTCTTATTTTTCTTCTCTTTCTCTTTTATACTTCCTCTTAATTAGAGGCATTCCACTATCTTGAATAGGCAATATCCCCTATCAAGCTCCACTGCTTCTCATTATATAGAAGTTTCAATGAGAGACTATTCTCCCCTTAGACTACTTCTGTTAAAAGAAGATCAACCACCTCATGTACAAAATGATGATCCAAAGAGATCTAATGGTAGTATTACATAGGAGGAGACCCAATGATAGTTAGCAGACGAGAAATTCCAAAATTGGTTGATAGTTTGGAAGAGATTCAGTTATCATAAGTCAATCCTTTAATGTAGGGAGTCAGACAATATGCCTATAGTAGTGGTCAAATGATGAAAGCTTAACCAAGATGGTTTGGTGACATTCTGATATTGGTAATTTGGGAGCGAGCTTATGACGATAATCAAGCTGTATTTATTGGAGATAGTAGGTATAAATACTGAAGAGCAGACAATGAGCAATTTGATGGAGGGGATTAAATACTATGTCGACCGTAATAATCTAGAGGCACACTCATAGTGCAAATTTAGTGGAGGCATAATTGTCTGCTGGTGATTTGTAATAAGATTTATTTGTTGAATGATGTGGTAATCATTGCGCCAAAAAGGTCTGATCGGGCACATGCTCTTCCATTGAGATTCATTATAGTGCACGAGATGATGTTGATGAAAGCACTTTACTTACGGTGATTCAACTTTTCAGATGATCATATCAATGTATTAATATTATATATGACTTTAAGATATTTTTATGAGATTAATGTTTGTTTGAAGTAATGAATATTCTATTTTTGTTGATTTATGAACTTGTTCCCCAGAAAAAATTAAGTCCTTTATGCATTTTTTTTAAGTTTTTAATATATTTCCCCTAATTAGAGCATCTAGATTAAATGAATTTATTCCTTATATAGCTTTTAGACTTTTGAGGTTTATAGTTAAAGAAATGTATATTTTCTATGGCTTCTAGCTTTCTAATATTTCATTATATGTATCTTTTAAGGCTTTTAGCCTTCTAAGATTTTGATATGCATATATATTTTAAGGCTTTTACTCTTTTAAGATTTTGGTTTACTTGTACCTTTTGAGACTTTTAGTCTTCTAGGATTTTTGGTTAACTTGTACCTTTTGAGGCTTTTAGCCTTCTAAAGTTTTTGATATACTTATATCTTTTGAGGCTTTTAGACTTTAAGGTCTATGATGTACTTGTGTCTTTTGAGACTTTTAGCCTTTTAAGATCTTTGAATGAGTGGTGACTCTATCAACCACTTGCTCTTATGGAGTCTTTTTAGTGAGGAACTTGTTCACTATTAGCTTCCCTTCAATGTTACCTCATGAGTGTGCCTTACTGAAGTTGTGAGTGGAGACCATATATATCAGTTGCCCTCATGGAGTCTTTCTTATAATAACCCAAAAGTGTGAAATGAATTTATTTGAAAATATATAAGTTTTGAAGTAAAGTGTTGTGGTTGATATTTTTAAATTTAATTTTTAATCTAAATTTAATTTGCATATAACCATATAATTTAATTTAAATTATTACTAATTTATATAATATATTTAATATAAATTTAATTCTAACATATGTTTATAAATTTAATATAAATTATTATTAATTTATGTTATATAATTAAATATATTTTGCATCTATATGTTATATACCAAATTTATTTTATAAATTTATATCTCAAAATTATTTATGAAAAAAAAGTATCATTAATAAAAAGATCAAATTATTTCTTTGTATAAAGAAATAAATTATTTACAAATAATTAATTAAAAAATATGTTTAAAAAAAATTTCTTTCAGTAGGAAGGTGATCACACCATGAATATTCTGTAGTAGAATTTCTATAACTTGCTTTCCTTACAATTACAATTCACATATCTTGCTAAGATTTCTCCATCTCAAGAAATAGTCTACCAAACTTTCACCTGGTTTTTTTCTTTTTTAATTACAAGATCCCCGATGGTGACCGATGGTGATGCAATGTTTTATACTAACAAATCTTTTTATAAATAGACTCTCAAATTCATTGAATGTATGGACTAATTCACTATGCAATTCAACATACCAAGTGAATGAATTATCATATAAGCTATTATAATCACCTAACCACTGCACCTCAAACATCATTGGATAATTGTTATCATTAGAGCATCATTTCCTAACAATCAATAACAAATTATTACTACTTTTTATTATATATTTAATAAAAAATTAATTCTAACATATGTTTATAAATTTAATATAAATTATTATTAATTTATGTTATATAATTAAATATATTTTGCATCTATATGTTATATACCAAATTTATTTTATAAATTTATATCTCAAAATTATTTATGAAAAAAAAGTATCATTAATAAAAAGATAAAATTATTTCTTTGTATAAAGAAATAAATTATTTACAAATAAATAATTAAAAAATATGTTTAAAAAAAAATTTATGGACATTATATATGCTATGAGCTCCTAATTAACCCAACTTTTCTCTTTAGTCTCACATCACTTACTCTTTCTTGTTATTATTTATATAACTTTTTGAGTTTTCTTCTGTTAAGAGCTCACATGGAGTGGTGGGGTCTTGTGAAGATGCTTCATGGTGGTTTGGGGCAAATATTTATAATAAAAATTTCATGTTAATTTAAATTAAATATTTTAAATTTAAATTAGTCAGTTCACTGATTGAATCGATGGTTCAGTCTGGTTAGATGTAGAAATGGTTTTCTGATTGGACCATATTGGTCTTGTGGTAGGTTTACCGTTGAACCAATTAAACTAGCCGGGCTAGTCTGATTTTTAAAACCAAGGATAAGATTGCAAGGTAATATGTACTGACATGATTAGTATGATTGAATTATGTAAAAATGTTTACTAATAGTATAAATTTAATATGATGTTTGAATATGATGCACTAATTGATATCAGATATATGATATGATAACCTCATGTGATATCCTTAAGATTTATATGGTTCACTAATGGGAGTCATAAGAGCTGGAGATTTATTGAGAGTTATAAGGAGTTAGGGTGGTTGATTCATGTGATTAAAAGTGAGTTATAAGGAGTACACCGATTGGGAGTCATAAGGGGTGACTGATTAGGAGTTATAACTGCATGAGCAAGATACCCTCAAGATATCCTCTCATGAATATCTAAATATTATTACTAATATTGATATTATATGGATATTAATATACTAATCATAATTAGTGATTAATGTCATTATTTCTATGACTAACACTGAGAATATTAATAATGTTAATGATATAATTATATTAATAATACCTAATAATATTATTGATACTATAACTATAACTAACAAATTGATGTGAATTGAATGGATAATAAGATTAAATGGAATTTATTATGTGATAAACATTGACTGAAACAAAACTAGCTGAGATATGATATGTTATAAATTGATTATTGATACAAATAACAGGTATATTTATATATATATATATTGATGCATATATTTCTTTCTATAATTTATAATATATTATTCTCTTTTATCCTGTAATGATTTCAGTTGTAGGATTTTGGTTATTTGTTGGGTTGTGTGCTCATTATGTGGTTTTACATGATTTTAGATAAATGTAAGAATCATATAATATGAGGCTTCAAATAGCATGCAAATTCTTTTCATTGTTCACAAAAAATTGGTAAACTTTAGTTAAATGCTAAAATAAAAGATAGATGCAATTCTTTCTCAAGGCATGATATTTCTGGTGAGGATCTTATCCACTACTAACTTCCCCTTTGAGGCTACCTTATGAGCATGCCTTCTTGGGATTATTTGTTAGAGCATTGATCAATGTCATTAACTTGTATTTAAAATGTTGAGAAAATTCACAAGGGATATTTGACATATCCAAGATTATTTATCAAAGCATTGCTTGATGATGTCAACATGTATGAAAGTCCAAGAGAATACACTAAGGATGTTTGACTTGTCTGAGATTATTTGCGAGAGTATTGCTCGATAATATTAACATATACAAAAGATGTCGAATCAAATCTTTAGGATCGAATTTTCCTTAAATGGGAGGGGGGAAATTGTTGTGTGTATCCCAAATCAAAATTGAAGATTAGTCTATCTTTAGACTATTACTATCTTTTTTAGGTTGAAATTAAAACTTTACCCAAGGAGTAAAAGTCCAGCTAGAGATGCATAGAGCTTTATATTTACTTGAAGCATCCTTATATTTTTAGGGAGCTTTTATAAAAAGTGGTTTCCATTGACATTATCTTGGACGTTAATTATATTGGAGAAGATTTTTTTGCTGCAGTCACACATGAGATTGCAGCCAAGGTTGCCCTTTAGTCCAAATTTGCTTCCCATAAAATTGATGCAGTAGTGACTGATGCTAGAAAGGCAATAGAACAATGCATAAGGTCACCCTTAATATTGAAGGTCCTCCTTTGGACCTGATGATATATCATGGCAAAGGAACTATCTTGCTTCAACCATGCCCAGGTTGGTGACGTGAACGGACTTTCGATGTTACAATAAAGGTTGCCCTTAGCCGGGAATTATTTCATACAAATGGTGGTAAACTATTTTGTGCTAGAAATTTTGAGTCAGCAGAGTTTATGTTTTATGTCTTAGTAGTGTGCAAAGATTCAACACGAACATATAAATATTATAAGACTTGAAGAATTTTTTACGTGCAAAACCCAAAAAGGGAAAAACCATGGAGTCCAGCCCAATTACAAAATTCATTATGTTGTAATTGATACAAAGATTCTCCTTTCTTCACTATTGAATAAGAGGAAGAGCACAAAGATCAAATGTCCACATATGGATGATCTATGCTCTACAACAAAGCTTAATTTTTTCAAGAGGGGTTTTAGAAAACTGATGTCCACAAGGTTTGATTTTTTTCAATAGGGATTATAGAAAGTAAATATCCACAATTAGACAATTATACCCAACATCAGGGTTAAATCTTCTTAGTATTTTGGAGAAAGTGGTGATTTTTAAAGCTGATCGTTGGTGGCGATGTAGGTTGTTGGTGGCAATAGCTGGTGGTGTTTGTTAGAGGCGATGACTCAAAAATGCAAGAGAGCTCTCACTAATTCTCTATTTCCTCCTTTTTTTAGTCCTCTGTCTCATGTGAAGAATGAGGGCCTCTTTACAGGCTTTAGAAGTGACATATTTCATAAATATGAAGAAAATTTATAACAAATTAGAAGTGCTTCATCATACAGTTCATATGGATTCCTTTGATCCTATAGATTTTCATCAAGCATTTAAAGCCTTAATGATGTCAGAATCAATTGGTCTTAGGCTCGTTGGATTTGTCTCGTTGAGCTGCTCGATTCAACTATAAATATGTCATATTTGAAAATCATTTTGTTACTATAATACTTTTAAGCTTCCAAGTATGCTTTAGCTCCTTGATTTTAAGCCATTTCAAGTCAGATTGGACCGATTTTGATGTCATTAGATTCATCTTATCGAGACGTTCAATTAGACCATGAAAGTACAGATATAAGAATTTGAATGGTCCCAAATTTAATTTTGAATTTTTTTGGCTCAAATATTTTTCTAGATTAGTGTCTAATTAAGATGATTTTTTATGAATCATATTTATAATATTAAATATTTGACATAATAAAATTTGAATATTGGTTAAGTACTATTGATGATCTCTAAAATAAATATCAGTTTAGTGATTTTTTTATTATTATTTAAAATTTTAAGGTTTATATAAGTAAATAATTTTTTTATATCAAATAAATAAATAAATAATTTGAGTCTATATAAATATTAAATCCATAATATATTACTGGAACAGTCTTAGGCTTATTCTGCGCTCCTTGCTTAACCGGTCATCAGCGGGCCAATAGAGTAACTGCTGGTACGCTCTCTGTATCCTGTCGTTTTTTTCTCCATCCCCATTCCCGTGGCCCGCTCTTTCCCCCGTTCTGCCCTAGCTAGGCCCGCCCATGGAAGCCAAGCCGGAGAGCGATCTCGTCGCCGTTCATGAAAAGCAGGTAACTGGTCGCGTGCGATCTCATCAGGCTTCTCCTAATATGGATCTATGAAAGATTTGGATGCTTCAACGGTTATATGATTTTCTTGGAGTTTGAAGTGTTCTGATATTTTTACCCGTATACACTTTTCTTGTTCAGGACGCAAATGATTCGATAGCCGATGAGTGGGCTGTGTCAGAGGGTTTGATCGATGGCTATGGTGCTTGCGCTATTTGTTTGGAGAAGATAAAGATCCAGGAAGCAGCTATTGTAAAAGGTTGCGAACACGCATACTGGTTTGTTTTTTACTAATCATTGGTGATTTTTTTACTTTACTTTGATGCTTTCCCTGGGGTATTCGTTTCTCTTCATCTGCAAGTTCTTGAGTTGGTCGATTGAGGGAATTTGTTCTTGCTTCCATGATATTTTGGAAGTTAATGTGTAATAATTCACTTAGTTGTCCTGTAGAAGTGTTTGTTGGAACCGTTGAATTGGGTTTTTCGTCAGACTGGGAGAAAATGGATAACTTACTCTGGAAATGGTCGTCAGTGGGTAGAAAATCTGTTCAAGATGTTCTCCCCTATTGCATGGAATCAGCAATCTTAGGTAAATCAAATAAGCAGCAGTATGAAGAGCCACTTCTCTGACAAACATCTAGATAATTTTTCTAAGTTGGTTTCTTTGAGTACCCATGTTTCGAAAACTGAGGTTTCACTAAATGCCCATGCCTAAATCAAGAGATTCAGTCGTAAGCACATCATTTGTGTCGTTGTTTTGTACCGGAACAAGACAATCTTAGGTAAAATCGAAGAATCAGATCATGGATTCTTCATTAGATAGCGAACTTCCATTTCAGTTATTGATTTTCATTTTGATCTTTGATATTTTTTAAGTGCAGTTTTAAAAGAATATAGTGCATGAGCAACTTTCTGCATTATCCCCACCGTCATTTTCCTTTGTCCCTTTTGCCCTTTTTCAAATTCAAGCATATTCCATTTTTTACTTCGTGTTGTTCTCTTTGAGATTTATCTTGACATTGTAATTATGAAGCATGTCATTTCCTTCATCAAGGGTGCTTCAAAGAGAAATCATTAAGGGTACGTTTGGGACGGCTTTACTGTTGCTGTGCTTTATAAAAAATTGTTAAACGGATGTTTGGGGCATCACGGCAAACCTACGTTGGAAAAATTTCTGCGGCCCATCCCTGCTTTCCGCGACCTTTCACCGACTCCCGCGGTCCGCTGCTTTCCGCCGTATCGAATGGAAAAAAAGTCGCAAATACCCCGTTCGTTCGTGCTAGAGTGCTTGATTATTCCGATCTTCCTCATCTTCGGCGATGTCATGTCGTGGCCAGGTTCATCTGAAGCCTACCACCGATCCTAACTGTGACAGGGAAGAATCGCATATGCGAGCCGGCGGATCCTCTCCTTCGAGGTTGCCAACGCGATGTCACGCGTCGTCCATCTCCACCGTTCTCTCTCCGACTGTGAAATCTCCAACCTCCATCACGAGATCCTCTCCTCCCCTGCTATTCACTCTCTCATCTTCCCTTACGAAAACCACCTCCTCGCCGTCGCCGTCGCCGAGAAGCTCAACAAACTAAACCGCACCGCCGCCGATGCTTCCCGTCGTTGCTTCTCAGGTCAGATGCAGGAGATAACATGTCAGGGAAGATTCAGAAAGCTGCTCCGATGGTGGAGCCTGGTGTAAATCTCCATCGTGATGGTCTCAGGTTCAACTGCAGAGCTATCCTAGAAAGCTCTTCATGGAATGTCTCAGCTTGAGTGGTCCGGCTTCATAGAAAGACATAGATGAACACTTTGATGAGCATAGCTGTGTTAGCCAGAGTAGGACTGGTTCTCTTGTTAAGGTTTGAGTGATTTAAAATGATATTGCAGTAATCAATTTATTTTAAAAAGTTTGTAATATATTCAATATTGATTTACCTTGTTATTACATATTGGTTGCATAAAACTTGACCGTGTTGTTCTCTTTGAGATTTATCTTGACATTGTAATTATGAAGCATGTCATTTCCTTCATCAAGGGTGCATCAAAGAGAAATCATTAAGCCTACCCTAGGAGTCTGTGTGGATTTCAGTTCTTATTAACCAGAATGAGATGCTTCTTTCCATCTAGTATAAAACAAACTGTGATTAAGATTTTTTCGTTTGGGACAATATTTTTGTTGCTTCTTAAAACCACTTTTTAGTAAAAAATGAAAAAATTTTGTACTAAAAACTTGTTTTGAGAAGCAATTAGAAAGCCGTCCCAAACGAAGCCTAAAAGTTCATTTAAATGATTATCACTGCTGGCATAGTGGTGGTCTCATAATGAAATATTTAGAATCCTGTTTATGTTACCTTATTTCTCTTTGGTAAAACTGATTAATAAGCGCTTGTGTGGATTTGTCCTAGAATTTTTCCTATTTTAAGACATTTAGGCTTCGTTTGGGATGGCTTCTTTGTTGCTTCTTAAAACAACTTTTTAGTTTAAAAATTAAAATTTTTTATTAAAAAGCTGATTTAAGAAGCACTAAGAAAATCATCTCAAATGAAACCTTAGTAGAGCTTTTTTCTAAGGCAGATTTAAATTGCTTATCATTATTGCTGTTTTTCAAAAGTTTGGGCGCTTTTTGGAAAAAAATTCATTGGATAAACATGCTTTTAAGTTATTGTATATTTTTTTAGACTAACTTCTTTATGTAAACAGTACGATATGTATCCTGAGATGGGCAACATACAAGGAGGAGAACCCTTCATGCCCCCAGTGCAAGAATCCATTTGAATTCTTGAACTTGCATCGTTCACTTGATGGCTGGTACTTCCTCTTCTTCCTTCTTTGCAGAGATTGAATTCATGTGTGCACTGTCACTGAGCAACTACTGCTTTTTCTCCTTGATTCAGTATTCATGAGTGCATGTTTGAGGAGAGTGTCTGGCTTCTCCTTAGAGCCGCTTGGTTTGTTCCTCTCATTGTAGAGCCTCAGGATGATTCCCATGAAGAGGAAGAACTTTTCCAGTACTATTATGATGATGATGATGATAATGGTGATGATGATGAGTACGATGCCGAGCTGAATGAATCTTATTTAACCAGAGCTTCGTCAAGCATCCGAATTGGAAATAGAAGGTGGGGAGATAATGGGTATGTGAGAGCTGGTCGCAAGGAAGCAAGGCCTCTGAGCCAGCGACCTTCTAAGGATAATAATGAAGCCGGCTCGTCCCGGCAACCCAAAAATAAGGAGGTTTTGAGTAATACTCCACCAACAGGGCGTCGGGCAAAGCGAGCCCTCAAGAGAGAAGCTGCTAATAAAGCTGCTGCTGATAAAGCTGCTTCTTCTACTGCTGATAAAGCTGCTGCAGCTAAGCACCAGCAACACCTGCAGAGGCTGGGCCGCAAATGATCATTTCAAGAGATCTAGGACATACATGTGAAGGAATCATGGGGTCCGATGTACATATTTCAACGTTCCATCTGTTGATTTCTAATTTGAAACCTTTTATACGACGAGTTCTATCTTATTTGTGCCCTGTTTATAATTTTAGAATTATGGTCAACGCATAGTCATTGCTATGACAATGATGATCATTTTATTCTTATCTTCTACACAATGTAATGTTATGAAATATATTCGACATCGGTGGGTTCTATTTTGTTGTGTTATATGGTGGTATGTTGTGTTGATGTTCAGTAAATTGAATGCTTGATGTTTAATTTATTATTTATATTGTTAGAATGAGTTTAATGATTTCTTAAAAATTGTTGTGACACTAATATGAATTTATAATATAGTTATTTTGTTAGTAAATAAAATATGTAATTTTGTTTGACATTGTTGTCTTATATGGTGTTTTGTAATGGGTGTAAATGAGCCGAGCCGAGCTTGAGTAACCGTTGGTAAATACTAACAAAATACGTAATTCAAAATGTCAGAATGCACCTTTGGTTATTCCTTGCTCTCATTCACAATAAATTTTTTCAAGCTTTGAAGAGGATCCCAACAATGCAAGAAGAACACAAGCTTAAGGATATTTCAAAATCAAAGCAAGAAACCTTTATGATAGAATCATAGAAGAGCAAAATGATTAGAGACAACTTTTTGTCAGTCACTTTAAAGAAGGCAATTATAGATAAATATATTATTAGCCACAAAGATTATAAAGAGGGATTTATGTAGGGCTACATATATAGTTGGATTCATCGCCATCGATTAGCCATCATTAGTTGGGCGTTATATTTGTTTGTCAATAATTGACTATTTCTCTAAATGGACACAAGTAGCAACATTTCAAAGAAACTACTATCAAACAAGTAATCAACTTTTTCACTCATATCATTATCTACACACCATATTATCTCAAATAATAGGGCAGCTTTGAAGTACCTAAATCAACACCATATTATCTCAAATCTACAGTAATGAAACTACCAGTTCATTTTTCATCATGACCTTAATTGGTAATATTCATCAATTTATAATCCAAGTACAAAGGGCTAAATGAAAGTCTTCAACAATGCATTAGTTAAACTATTCAAGAAGATTCACATCAAGAATAAAATAGAATAACATATAAAAATGATAGGATTGTTCTAGTCATCTCATATTACCTACAAGACAATGACTAAATCCGCTTCTCATGCCTTAGTATATAGAGCTAAAGCAGTCCCACCACTTGAAGTCAAGTTATCTTTTTGAGTACTTATATACTACACATAGTCATTACTAAATACAATATAAAGTGGAAGGCTATTGAATCTAAAAAAATGATTATATATATATATATATATATAATGCTATTGTGAACTAAATATTTTGTGCATATTGACTAGCTTTAATCAAAAGTTCTCTCTTAATATGTGAAATGGATAATTAACCATAAAGGCTTGTACCTATGCAAAACTTACGACTATAAGTGTAGGCAAACAATAGTCATTGAATTCTTATGTTGTTCCTATTTCAAATTAAATCAAGTAAAATCAAATCAGATCCAAATATTATAGAAAACCAAGCTTTAATTGAACTCAACAAGTTCAAACATGTTCTTCTTCTCATAATGACTACTACCAGTTGTCTCACCACTGAATCTTTCATGCTAATAGTTGATTGGTGTTGAACTGCTACTAGATCAGTTTATCCTCTTAGCCCTCTAGACCAACTAAGCAAAATCTATAATATCTTGTGCTAACAGTGGACCTCAAAGCATCTTAGAGTCCCTCTAGAAATCTATAACATTTATCCTAAGAAGTACTAACCAATTATGAAGCATACCTAGAGAGAGCCAAGCTTACAAAAATTAGCTATCCAAACCAAAATGCATACCTATAACACAAATTAGAGCTTGTTGTGCAAACTAATTAGCTTGCTCCTTACCCTTCCCCTGGACTAAAAATGAAAGTAAAAGTAAGATTGAGCTAACACGATTCAGTATGCTATCACAACCTAAAATAGATATTAATAATCAAATCCAAAAGAATAAAAAATATTATACTATAATAATAAACTTAAGTACTATAAGAAAAGTTTTAACTGAAATGTGTACTGAACTAAATGAACTTAAACAAATACTAAAACTAACTGAATTATGAGTAAACAGTTTATAGTCATATCAGAGTGATTATCAGAATGAGTCTCAAGCCTAACTTTTCATATATCTTTGTAAACAAAATTCTACCTCGATAGACCTCAGGCCCTAGCATAACAGAATCTCACCTTGGTCCCACACTAGCGCAGACATAATATCACATCACATATCTTTCATATTTTTTATGCATTTCATTAATTAAAGCATAATTAATGAAATATGTCGTGATGTGAAATGATGTGATTTGATGTTATGCAGACACTAGCAAGCAACTGAGGTGAAATTATGTTATGTTGGTGACAATGGGTAATCAAGATGGGACTTTTATTATTTTTATAGCGTTACACGACAATGGTAATAGAACAAAACTAAAGCCATATGTTTTAATTTGAAATAGGCACAATAGTAGTCATTATATAGTGTAGATTAGTTTATGATAAATAATGTTTTAGTTTAATTAAAGTTTCATAATATTGTTATACACGATCTCTGATACTTTGGTTAATTTTTTAAAATGTGAATTTCTGCTCATAAGAATATTTTATTGCATACCGTTGAGGCATTTCAACAATTTTTGAATTTAGTCCAATTATGCTTTAATTAATAAAATGCATCAAAAAATATAAAAGAGATTCGATGTGATGTTATGATGTCGCTAGTGGGGGACAGAGGTGTTAAGAGAGTTGCTATTTGCATGTTTTACATTCTTGCAACTTGTATAGTTTTAATGATTCAAAATATTATTCTTTTATGTGTAGTTATCTCCTAATACTTTTTGGAAAATGTATTTTTGCTCTTGTGTGTACTAATATTTCAAAAAAATTGAACTCCAAACTACTGAAGACTTCAAATCAAATTCAGCATGAGATATCTTGTATTTTGAAGCTTGTAATTTTTGTATGAATTAAGTTTGAGAGGGAGTGATTGTAATTGAGTGAAAAAACACACACACATGAGGAGATCTTAAAAATTCTTGTACTAATCATACGGGACGAATACAATTCGTACAGGACGATCAGGTTAGTTATCTCCTTATAAGAGCAATGGAATGAACAGGTTTTGGAGAAAATTTTTTCTAAGTCCTGATCGTCCAAGACAAAATTATTTTCATCCCAGGATGAGCTAGGCTATGTAAAATTTTTGTCCAGACTAAATTATAATCGTGCCAGGACGAGCTAGGCTCTGTAAAATTTTTGTCCAGACAAAATTATTTTCATCCCTAGACGAGTTGGGCTCTGTAAAATTTTCATCCAGACGACATTAATAATCGTGTCTGGATGAGTTACTCTCTGTAAACATTTCGTCCAAACGAAATTCTATTCGTCCCAGGACGATGGGATCCGACTTAAGTAAGTTGGTTACATCCTGTAGTTATTTGGGAACCGACCTATGAAATAACTGTTCGTCCGGACGAACCTAGTTCGTACGGGACGATGATCGTGTACGAACATAGTTTTTACCAATATTCATTAGGATCGTTTCTGATACTTTAAGTAAAATCATCCAGGACAAGTCAACCTAGGTTGACCAAACTAGCCCAAATTACCTCCATTTGAGTTTAAATTAATTTCAAATCTCTATCAGCCCAATTCATAATCAATTTGGACTTGATTGACCATGTTGACATAGTCAACACTTGGCTTTGCCAACCCAACCTTGTTTTGGTCAAATTTAACCTATTTCGGTCAAATATATGACCCATTTGGCATTTAAACCCTTCCAACTTCCCCTTGACCCAAATTACGGCCAAGGAAGCCATTCTTGTACTATGAATGCTCTTCACTTATACTATGTATGCTTAAAATTTTAGTCAATTTGATCGAGCCGATCGATCAAACGAGATGAAAAATGAGTTCTAGGGTTCGGTTTATGTAACCTTCGTGTTACGTAAGATCTGAACCATTTAAAATTCATTTTTTAAATTATATGTATTTAAATATTTAAATATTGAGATATTCCTTTAAAATTTCAAACATAGCTTAAGTACATGAAAAGAGCTCTAGGGGAAGGATTAGTGAATAATTTGACTCCAATTATTCACTAATCAAATCATTAGTCCTTTGAATTATTATTTAATAATTGCATGTTTAGGATACAAGAGCACTTAACCTAGGATTTCCTAATTCTAAAAGCATGGCTTGTAATTGTGTGTTGCATTTTTCTTATGTTGTCCAAGGGTTAGTCATTGACACTTGATTTGAACATATTCAACCTAGCGACACCTTAAGAACAATAATTAATGACCCATCTAGAGAACTTAGAGAAAGGCTAAGGAGTAGAATACATCTCCAAATGACATGAAATTTAAACCATTTAAACTTAGTGTCATTTCATACCTCCAATAATTTTCTAGGAATTTTTAGAATCCTTTGAGTCACTTAATTAATTAATAGTAATTTACCCCTTTAATTAAACCCTGAAACTTCAGAAAACTCTAATAAATCCAAATTAAATTAAAAAACTATTAATAATATAACCAAACTCTCTGGAATTGAATTTCTAATCTAAGAAAATTAAAATCCCCTTAATTGGACATTAAGTTGAACACTAATTTAATTTTAATTAAAAATCACCCTTTAATTAAATAAATTAATTAAATATTATTAAAAATTTTAAATTTTTTTGAAAATGCTTCCTTACATCATTCTTGACCTTTATTGGTGATCCCAAGAGGTTTGTGCTTCATTTAAATGAAAATCCCTAAAACACCCTTAATTAAGCAATTCTAATAATTCATTAAATACACAAAATTTAAAAAATCATAACTAATTCCCAGAAATTCCAAATTGAGTAAAATAAAAGGCATTCAACTTCAATTAAAATCTAGTATTTATTAAAAATATGAACATTTTAGAAATCTGCTTAAATAAAAAGTCAACTACTCGGTCAACCGTAGTTCAAGAACAAGGGTCTGAACTTCTAAAAATCATAACCTTGTGTAGAAAACTTCAAATCTAGTAAATTTAAAGTCTAATTACTCCTCATAAGGTCTAATATTTAATAAAAATATTAGGACTCTAGAACTTAGTTTATTCCTAAAAGTCAACTTTGGACACCTTTGACCTAGCATATAGGATAACCCTGAGTGTTGCAAAATTCTCT